AATTTTACTGTGGACTGACTGTTTTGAAACTTATATGGTAGTTAAATAGCCCCTAGACCTCAGTAATCGTGAAAAAAGCCAAGAAATTTCAGTTTTGACAATATGGGACCTTTAAGTATCAAGAAAAAGTCAATCTGCACTTCAAATTCAAATGACAGGCACCAGTTTTAGTAGGATTAGTAGATGAACAGAGAAAAATAGGCTTAAAATCTCATTAAAATATTTATATAGATATTGTAGCTTCACTCTGCTCCAATTGTAAGTAGTGTTTTAAGCAGCACTATGTAACTTTTTCTGTGTTCAAAATTTGCAAAATGTATATAATGAGCGAGAACAAGTCATACTTGTGCACAGTGTTAACAAAGTGTGCAAAACAAATACTGTGAAAGAGAATGACAACTGAACGTCATGCGCTGTACATACCGGCAGTGATGCACTGACCTGGTGACCCTCCTCTGACAAAATGGTCTCCACCATTGGAAATTCGGGGTCATGCGACCTCACCTCCAAAGAGCTTCCTGAAATAAACACCGTTTCACATTACAAAATCTACAAACTGGTGTTACAACTAAAGTCTTCAGATGATGCTGATTCTTTCAACAGTTCATATAAGCAGCACATTAATATACGCCACAGATCAAAAGTTTGAGTTGGTACAATTTTTTTATGTTTTTTTATGTCTTTTATGCTCACCAAGGCTGTGTTTTTCTGTGATCAAAATACAGTAAAAACAGTAATATTGTGAAATATTAACAATTTGAAATAACTATTTTAATGTATTTTATAAACTAATTTATTCCTGTGATGTCAAAGATACATTTTTCAGCAGTCATTACTTCAGTCTTCAGTGTCACATGATCCTTCAGAAATAATTCTAATATGTTGAGTGGTGCTCAAGAAACAATTCTTATTATATAACCAAAGCTGAAACAATTGTGCTGCTTATTATTTTTGTGGAAACCGTACATTTTTTTTTTTAGAATTATCTGATAAACAAAAGGTTCAAAGGAACAGTATTTATTTAAAATTGATTTTTTTTTTTTAACAACAATCTTTGCAGTCACTTTTGATCAATCTAATGTGTCCTTACTGGATAAAAATATTAATTTCTTTCTTTTCTTTTTCTTTTTTAAATCTTATTAACCCCAAACTTTTGAACAATAGTGCAAACAAATTTATTTGACTTTTCTTTTTAAATAAATAAAAAGTAGCTTTAAGGAGCAATTAGGTTTATAACCTGCTATTTCCTCTGAAAGACTGGGTGCATCTCCAATACTCTCTGTCCCATCATCCACTGGTGCTGTAGGGTCCACAGCAGCCTCCTAAAAGTCAAAAGTGCACATCACTACATCTGATTCATTCATACAAATGAGACAATATCACTAACACAAGCATTTTGATAATATGTTTTGCAAACCTCCGGAGAGAGCAGAGTCCAGCTATTACTGGATGACCCGGTGCTGCCGGTGCTGTTATCAGACATGGCCCTCTTGTGGCTCTGTACAGCACCTACATTATGAAGATAACCACATTCAGAAAGATTAGTTTACTACCAGTATCTAATGTTCTGCCCAGGCCATCATATTCAGTAAAATGAGCTGTAGCATACATTAATATTCTCTCAAGAATTGTACTGATTTCATAATTAACACTCTGCAAACAGAGTTACTGTACTGATTTTGATGTTTGACTGCAATAATACACACCCTATAACTTCCAACATTTGCCATTAGTTTTAAAAATAGCAATATTTACACTTTGAAATTCATCGTAGATGATCACTGAACACAAATATGCAAGTTTATCGGATCGTCTTTTTGTTACATCTAATGGCTCTGCATTATAAATAACCCCTAAACCACCTGTCTTCAGAGCATAACTCAATAATTTATATTGATTACAACATATACTGAATTTAAGTAAAACATAAATATGTCTTTCAAAGAAACATTACTACTATATCCTGACAGTAAGATGTTAATTGTCTAAGATAAACTGCCTCTACTTTTTGACAACTTTGTCACTACCCTCATTAAGTGAGTCCTATTAGTTGCAAGCAACATTTGAAACACAAAATGGTTATTTTAATAAATGCGATGTGCACAATTTCATTTAGTCAACATGCAAGATTTCCAAAATGACTGGTGACAATTCAATAGATGTGGTTGAAAATCTGAAGCTCATTCATTCATTCATTCAAGCGAATGCTATTTGTCAATATTTATATTACATATTTGACACATTGTGTTTGTATCTGACAGTGATGACACATAATAATTGACAGGAAAGGAAAAACACATGAGGAAGCTTGAACCCCCACACACAGATGATACCGCTTGAAATGAACAGGTTTACAAAACAACAATGCCTCACAATGCATAAACATAATATTTCCAGTCTTTTTTTTTTTGCATTCCTCAAGGATCTGTGAACCCAAGCACACTTGTTATATAATCCACACTGGCGCACTGTTTACCTTATTTATTCAATTAGAGAGAACCGATGTAACGTAATCAACAAGATAACGATTCCAGCTATTACATAACAACAGTCAAACACAAGCCACGAACAATACACAAGAGACTGCTGCAGTCTATAAAGCCACACTCAAAGCGTGACCAAAAATGGACGGACGGACGGCCTCGTTGCATTCCTGGCCTATTGTTTATCGCGTTTAAATGGACATATTTAATTCGGTAACGCGCTGTCATAATGGTGATGCACAGCGTAGGCTGCGTATTTACGTTCAGCAGCACCACACGCCATTCTGAATGAACACAAGCCTCTTCCGCACGAAATAAGGATCCTTACCTACTCATTCCAGGCTATATACACGGATGCTGTTATATAAAACGCTTACCGTGCTTAAAACGGCCTCAGACGAGTTGCGCAGGCGTTATTCCGTCAGCAATCGTTTAATTTCACCACTCGCGAACTTCGCAACTTCGGGATTCCGAGTTTGCGTTTCTCTCCAATGGGACTCCGATACCGTTCCGCTCAAACACTAAACAGCCAATGGGAGTAAAGTGTCGTGTCGCGCATTCAGACAGCTCATTTCAGCTGTGACTGACAAAGGCAGGTGAAAGTGACTATCTGAACGTGAAGCGCGGTGTTGTCGTTGACTTGAGGGGAAGTAAAGACTCCCAACAGCATACATTAACTCCCTATATATATAGGGACAAGACATGTTCTCCTCCAGCAGTCTAATGACATGTCTACACAACAAGAGCTAAATCTGTCTGTCTGCTACAGCTGGACTTGCCTAAATAAACTTTGCTCTGGTGTTACAACACGTTCTTTTGTAATTAACGCATTGCTAAAGCAAATAGATCTTTATAAAACATTGCTGTATTGTATTAAAGGAAGCATCAAACAACATACTTTAACCCAGTGGTTGCCAAACTTTTTTTTCCAGGGGACCCCTATTTTAACATTCAAATATTTTTTTACCTTTTCCTTCTCGTTGATTTTTTTTAATAAACATTTTTTTTGGTTTTTGATGTTACCAACAACGTTTATAACATTAGCAATATAAAGCCTTTTTTTCCAAACCAATAACGCCACTTGAATCTTGAACAATTTGCTTTGCAAAATGATTACCTCTCTGGGTTGACTTTAAAATAGACATAACAAATAATTAAGCAAAGCTCTTAATATAGAATTTCATGATATTTTACTTTGTTTTCAAAACCCATATTTTTCTGAAAACAAAATTACATGATTAATCTGTTAATTATTGTAGCAAAGTTTTATATTCATAACGCAAAGATAATTCTTTTAACATTCAAATATTTTTTTACCTTTTCCTTCTCATTGATTTTTTTTAATAAACATTTTTTTTTGTTTTTTGATGTTACCAACAACGTTTATAACATTAGCAATATAAAGCCTTTTTTTCCAAACCAATAACGCCACTTGAATCTTGAACAATTTGCTTTGCAAAATGATTACCTCTCTGGGTTGACTTTAAAATAGACATAACAAATAATTAAGCAAAGCTCTTAATATAGAATTTCATGATATTTTACTTTGTTTTCAAAACCCATATTTTTCTGAAAACAAAATTACATGATTAATCTGTTAATTATTGTAGCAAAGTTTTATATTCATAACGCAAAGATAATTCAAAAGATACCAGTATAATACAGTAGGCCCTATGACCTTTTGTAACACTGATTTTATATTACTGAATATATTTTGAAATCCTTTCTAATGTGAGATCACAAAATAAGAAGCTTATAAAAACAATAAAAATCCTAAAGCTTTTAAAATTTATGTAACTGCCCTAATATTATAGCACTTTTTTATCCTAGTATTTTCATAGCCTATGTTTATGTTCATTTTTTTCTTTTTGTTGTTGTTGTTATTCTGTTTTACATGCTTTAAACTGTACAACAGCCTTATATGCAGTGTTGGGGGTAACTCATTACAAGTAATGCGAGTTACGTAATCAGATTACTTTTTTCAAGGAACTAGTA